TTTTCCCCACATTACTTCTATGTATAAAAACAAGTTACAAAATGAAATCTCCACATTTACCAGATAAAACATGTTTGTAATGAAAAGTATTTTTGTCTTTTATTTATATTGTCTTTACAAATATATTTTATTTATACCTGAATTTTTACACACACACAATTTTCATTCATTTAAGTCATTCACAGGGTAAAATCTCTTCTGAAATTGACCATTTCTTGCTGATTTTTAAAAAAATGTGCTCAATGCACAAACTTTAGAGCAATTCTAAGAACATTTATTTATAAAAGATATAAATAACTCAGCCCCTGCTATAGTTTCACTCTCTGGATCATCAGGCTGGTTTAGTTATATATATATATATATATATATATATATATATAATACATAAAAGGTTAATTATCAGGGTTGAATTAGACCAGGAAACAGTGGTATTTAAAAGTAAACAATGCACAGGTGAAAAAAATAAAAAATAACATGTAGAGCTTTTAACTTTAAAAATTATGGGATCAGTTGATTTCACTACCATGGTTTCAACGTTACGGTATCCTCAGGTGATTTTTATCAATTGACCTCCCAACACTTAATTTTTTAGAAAATGAATGCTATATTATTTTTGAAATAAACACACGGCATTGAGTGTAATAGAAAGGGAGGAGGAGGGAAAGAGAAGAAGAAGGGGGAGGAGGAGGAGAAAAAGCAATATATATGTGTGTATGTAATGTCTGATACTATCCTCAGTTTCAGGCAACTGCTACAGGCCTTACAATATATTCCCCATAAGTAAAAAGAAAAACACAACTGTCTTATCATTATTGCACAAGTTATTTGGACTAATATTCTCATCTTTCTTGACATTAACTTGCCAGCCTTTTTTAGTGTTGCCTAAAGTTTTAATATGAAGCCTTGTCATTATTCTGAGCTTACAGATATATCACGTTGAAACACCAGTTACCTTATGATTACCAAAGTTAAGCAATGTCAAGCCTGGACAGTACCTAAATCAGTGACCACTTGCTAATACCAGGTGCTGTAAGCTTGGATATGGTGGTGATGTAATGGATAATGGCTCAGAATTGTTAATCAGAAAGCTGAGTTCTAATTTCTGTTAGGTTCATTATATTCACTTACACGCAAATAATTTTGGGAAAGCTATGAACCTACCTCTTCTCTCCCCCTGCTATAGGTTAATTAGTAAAACTTGTCACTAAATCATTATTATCACAAAAAAATTCTTATAATTTAAAAATGTTTTTTGGCTTTAAATAACCTGAAAAGAGTAGATAAGTCATAAAAACAAATCAATAAATCAGTTGTAATTATTCCAGGAATTAATCAGACTTGTTTTTTTTATTTTTTTTATTTTTTTATTATTGAAACATTTAATGCAGTTCCTTAAAAAAATTGTCATTTTCACTCAAAGATATTTTGAACTGTGTTTAAATATGAGAAAAAGTAATAAGGTCTTGTCAGTTTGTAACAAAACAATGAATTAAGGATGTAAATAATTTAAATTTAGATTCTCTTTAGATATTCCCCTTCTTAAAGAAAAAAGAAGTTCCTTTTGAATATACTGCTGGGTTTTACAACTTTATTTTAAAAGAAATATTAGAAAACGCTACAAATTGGGGATGTGTAGTGTCCAAAGTCCTGAGACATGTCATTTTCATTATTCAAATTTATGTTCTCATTTTTGTTCTCATTTTTGTTTTTAGCATAGCTTTTCAGTCAGTGTGTTCTTCAACTATCCTCACATGTAGAATTCATGTAGTCAGGTCTTTATTTCTTTGTTATTGATAGGTCTGGGTTTTTGAGTAACAAAGGTTCATACAGTCAGAAACAATCCAGTAGTGAAGTCTGAAAAAATACCAGCTATATGTACTGAACAAAGCAATAGTATTTTTTATCTATGGAAGGCTCTAGTAGCTATTTATTTATTAATTTTGCTTGATTAAATACAAGCCACTATATAGCATTGGATTAGATATTTGGTTACTGTCATACAACTCTTTATATACCTGAAGAGGTAAAAAAAAAAATCTTGTTGGTTGGAATTTCATAATAAAATCAACAAGAATACAGATGTTTTTGCAAACTTAAACATTTTGCATCAAGTGACCTTATGTAAACCTTTTTAAAATAAACTGTATGTCTCAGATATAAAAAATAACTGCCTGACATTGGTTTAATTGTTTTCTTTTAATTATCAGCATAAGTCTTTGGAGTTAATTCAAATTTATTTTGATGACATCAAAAAACTTAATGTTCATAAGAAAATGTTTTGGAATATGGAAATTCTTTTCTTTCTTCTTATTTCACTCTAAGCAAGGAAACAAAACCACTAAGATGCAAGGGGTTACTGAGTGTAAGAGAACATGAGAAAAAAAAATACTATTAAGGAAAGAGAACAATAAAAGAACAGGAATTAAGAAAACAGAAGATAATGATTGACATTGCATTTAAATTTTTGAAGATCAAAGTTGACTGAGAAGCAAGAAGCTGG